ACTGCCTCTGTACAGACAGCTACGACCATCTAGTTCCAAGTGCCCCAGGTTCTTCGGACAGCCCAAGATCCACAAGAAGGATATTCCCCTGCGTCCCATTGTAGCTTACAGAAGGGGGACCTACATACAACACAGCCAGGCATCTTGCAAAGATCCTCCACCCCGTGGTAGGAAACACCGAACACCACATCAAGAACTCCGACTAGTTTGCAGCATTCATCCAAGACCTCACCCTCCAGCCGGACGACAACATGGTCAGCTTTGATGTCGTCTCCCTCTTCACCAGCATTCCCACCTCAGACGCCTGCACCATCGCCAAGGACAGACTTCAAGCAGACACCACTCTCCAAGACCGCACCGACCTCACCCCTGACCAGCTTCAAGATCTGCTCCTCACATGTGTCAACTCATCTAGCTTCAGATGGCAGGACAAATTCGTACAAGAGCGTACAACGTCTGCGAACGATGAACACCTACCTGAAGAACTCCATCACATCACCACAGCACTGCAACGCAACGGATACCAGCCCAGCCAAGTCAAGACACAAGACCCAAGAACCATTCCCGGCCGTAGGGTCTCCTATACCCAAAGCCAACTAGTTAGGGCCCCTAGTTCCATCACCCTCCCCTACTTAGCCACCACTTCTCATCTCATTCATTGCATCCTCCAAAAGCATGGAATTCGAGTCTTCCACACAGCCTCTCTGAAGATGCAGAACCTGCTGACTTTACGCAAGGATTGGTGTGACCCAGAATGCAGACCAGAGGTGACAAGATTCCATGTCAATGTGGGAAAATGTATATCGGCGAGACTGGCAGGGACCTCCCCACCAGACTCAATGAGCACAAAGCCCGTGGCAGGAAGGGAGACTTTTGAGAAATCTTCCATCGTCAAACACTCCCACACCGAGGACCACCAGATCAAATGGAGCCAAGCAGAACTACTCACTAGCATCGACCGCTGGTACCCACGACGCATCAGAGAAGCCATCGAGATCATCTAGCACAACACTGTTCCCCAAGACATCGGTTTCTACATCAGCAACATCTGGCGCCCCATCCTCAAGTCCAAGTCGGATGGGTCTCCTACACCCTAGGACAACTTAGCTTCAGTTCTCGCCTATAGGTCACCTATACCCTGAGCTCCTTCCCCTTTGCCCCCTCACTGTGTACTGACACGCTCCAGTGATCATCCAGCATCCCTCAGTCAACTTGCATCCTTCTCTGCTTCACCGGTTTCGAGCTTCAACAGTTTGCATCCTTCTCACGCCTCACCGCACCATCCTTATAACATCGCATCATCGTTTGAATCCCTCATTCTCCTGACGACGGGCAGAGCATACTGTTTGAAACTTTGAGTCCCTCCGGTTCTTTTCAGAACCACACATACTCCCAAAAGAGATTTATTCACATGGTGCTACCGCAAACTTATCTCGTCTTAAAAACTATTTTATACCCAGAAGTACTTGGGCGCTATCCGAGATAGTCGACGAAATGCATTAGGCAAAGTTTGGACATTTTCAAAAACCACCTGACCTAAGATTAGAGAAATAGTCTGAATCTTTTGGTCTGGGAACCAGACTAACAAAACAAAATTCTTCAATGTTCCCGATACTATGTCCTCTGGGTTTTCGTACAGTGGGATACTAATTCCACGTGGTGAGATACCAGTTCAAAAATTTAAGGTTGTTCTACACTTCCGCATTGTCCCAATCCGCCAAGGAAAACAACAAACATATAATCTTGTTTGGGATATATCGGTGTAAATATAAACAAAATTGTCATGAACGTTACATCAACCCCTAAAATCATTCATTAATTGCCGAAACAGCCTTTGTTTTCGTAAAGATTTTTTTGCTTTTTGTTCTGATTTTATTTCGTTTTTCTTTTTTTCTCTTTTTATTCCACCCTCAAATCCCATAGACTTTTTACACGTTATCTTAAATGTGCAAACTTAAACACCCTATATCTAAAAAACTGTAAGTCCGATTGGGTTGAAACTTGGTATGTAGGTAGACTGGGATGTGTTATAGGTAAAAATTGAGGTGACATCATCATGACCTAATCGTGTGTTTTATATCGATTTTTGAAGTTTTGAAGATTATCACCATATCTCTCGAACCCAACATGCTAAATGCAAAATTCTTTTTGTATTTGGTTTGTTAGGTAACAGGTAAATTGACAACCTCAAGCCCCCCCCCCCCCCCCCCCCCCCGGGTGTGCCACTGACGACGCTTGAGGCTCATGGGAAGACGCTGTGGCTAATATCTTTGGCACATTCAGAAAGTCATGCGTACTTCGAGTGCGAACACACACACACTGGAATTTGAATCCTTGTGGAGTCTTTTCTTTGTCATCGTGTACTAAAACTGTAGAGTTTGAAAGAGTAGTTTCAAAATGCTCCTATTTTATCCAGAATTAATTTCCTGGCAGAAATTCAGACTTAAAGGGAAAATACAGCATTTGCAAACATCACAAAATAAAACTACCAAATTATTTTGAAATACCTTGCTAAACTGTTAGTGAATGACAGTCTTAAGCATCCTGTAAAATCATGGCACCTGATATACTGTCATTTTCAAGAAAAGTTGTATTTTTGTATCAATTTCCAACGCTGGTTGGCCGACCAGCGTTGGAAAAATCTGGCTTTTTTTCAAATACTGGCCCCAGTTGACCATATTTAGTTAGTTCGCATTTGTTTGCAATCGCATTTGTTTGCAATCGATTACACACCTATGAATGGGTACAAGCCAGCTAGACTGGTTCCCTGACCTTACAATTCCCAATGTCTACAAATTACTCCGTTTCATCTTAAATGGAGTCGGGGAACCAGACTACAGGAAATGATTTGTTTTTGGATGATTACGGTTGTTTGGGATTGTAACTTCAGTAGGGGGTTGCTCTTAGGAGTAGGCAAGTTGGGATTGGTTTTGAGGTCAAAAGGTCAAAAGGTCAAGGTCACCGTGGTGAGTTAAAGTTATATGGTTTCCGGATGATAACTTGAGTTGGAAGTGAGATTTTGGTGTGTAACTTCGGTAGGGGGTTGCCCTTGGGTACAGGCAAGTTGGGATTGGTTTTGGAGTCAAACGGTCAAAGCTCAAGGTCACTGTGGTGAGTTAAAGGTACATGGTTTCCCGATGATAACTTGAGGTACAAATGAAATTTTGGTGTCTAAATTCGGTAGGGGGTTGCCCATTGGTACAGACATGTTGGGATTGGTTCTGTGGTCAAAGGTCAAGGTCCCCATGTTGCAGGGTTGGCGATTTTTTTTAATTTAAAAAAAACAAAAAAAATGGATTTATTTGATTTAAATCAGATTTTTAAAATTTAAATCAAATTTTTTTGATTTTTTTTACTTTCAAAATATTGATATGTCTAAACATGTGTCTAAATCTCCCCATGCACCCTCACACCTATCACAAAGGAGTTTACATGTTCCTATAATACTCATCATCCACAAAAGTCAATAAATTGATAAATGCTTTTGAAAAAAATTGTATTGAATCAGTGATTTAAAAAATCACTTGATTTCTTCTACATGTAGTCTACATCATTGGTTCAATGGTACATGTACATTATTACTGAAGACACTTTTTCATTGCTTGATTGATACAGCTGAGATACGTTGTGTGTGGATATGAATGAAAACTTGATTTATGGTACCTGTATACATGGTATACAAACAAAAATACGACAGTTCTCCATGGGCATGTTGATTTCATAAAAATGCTTCTAATTTCAAAACTGGCAGCACTGATCCTTGTGAAACTTATAGTGTTTGATTAATGGCCCAAGGAGGAGAACAGAAATCAGACCTCGCACCTTTAAAAGGTTTTATATAAATCTCAATCTAAATCTGTAGGGAGAAACGTTAGGACTAAGACTATCAATTGGGACTTTCGATATACTTTTTGATGGTTCATGTAAGCCTACACCAGTGCAGTTGATTCACAATATTACTGAAAATAGATCAAGGAATGATTAAAGCAAATGTGAGTGTGCTCTCTTTAAAATTAACAACTTTGAAGAAAAACTTTTAAACTCAGATCTTGACTTAATCAAAACAATGATTTTGTGTAATTATGCAAAACCTAAATTGAGTCGAATGGTGATGAAGTAGGGGTGTTTGAATGTGTTAACATCATCTTACACTTTGTAATTAAGTGGAATCAGTTGATTTAAATGATTAAAGAGACCTCAATCAATTGATTTTGCCAAAAATATGATTTTTACAAAAAAGTGATTTAAATCAGTGATTTTTATTAAAAATATCATTTGATTTAAATCGCAATTTAAATCAGTGATTTAAATCAACGTGATTTAAATCAACCAACCCTGCCATGTTGAGTTAAAGGTTAATGGTTTCCAGATGATACCGGTAACTTGACTCTAGCTGAGGGGTTTCAACAGCAATGCTGTTATTTTTCCTCTGTGTTCTTTCATCACAGCTGCTGGTCACCCAGAAACATGTTTTGTTGCAGTTTTCCAATGGTGTCCTTTGGGACCAATACTTGTCTTAAAGTTGTAAGTGACCAAAATGGGCTGGCTATATCACCTGTCGTCAGATGAGGTCACACATGTTCTGGGTGCACACATGTTCTGGGTGTATTTTTACGGTCGGATACTTAGCGCAGGGAGAATTCACTCCATTCATTTCACACTATATCTTTCACCCCAAGATGAGTATTGGCTTAGTATTGAGAATTTCAACCCTGGTCCCCAGCAGGGTTGAGAATGTTAAGTATGAAATGTCCCCTGGCTCACCCTGGGCCCCTTTCAAGGTTTTGTTAAGTGTGAAAAGTCCTCAAGTGTACCCAGTAATTTGTTTGAAGGCAAAACAAAAACCATTGCATCACTTAGCTTGTTTAAGTTTATTGCTAAAAGGTTTAAACTGACTCGACCTGCTGCAGCTTACTGTAAACAAGTGGAATGGACTGGCTAACGGGTATTTGAAATTAATAACATTTATATATTTTATTTTATTTTTATGATTTCAATAGAACATGTCTATTGAACAAATGAAGAACATCTGTTCAGCTCTTGGATCCAACACACAGCTTAAGGAGTTATTCATGGCAAACACACGTCTTACTGACCCAGTTGCAAAGGTAAGTATGTGTATTAGGATCACTTATGATATTCATGTTAATATTGGCTTTTACCCTCCAGCACTGTAATTTTATAAGTGCAGCACTGTCTTCTGTAATTGTTTTCTGAGATTTTGTAAAAAAGAAGATGTTGTAAGCTTTCAAGGTAGTCGAAATGATAACATAGTAGGTTTACATACCACCTAAATAAGCTGAGGAATTTTTGTCTCCGTTGCTGTCAGAAAGCATTGTACTGTACATACAGGGCTTGAAAACATGTCAGTAAATGGCGAAATATTATTGCACATGTATTTGTACAGCTTGTACAACATGTACATTATTAGTTATCCCACAAGTGCAAGCAAACACGGAATAATGTGTCTGTGTCCCACATGCCACAAGGCCAAAGGCCGAAGGCTGAGTGATATGTGGGATGCAGATCCATCACATTTTCCGTGCTCCATTAGTGCGAGTGGGATAATGAATTTATCTTCAAGCAAACTTGATGTACAGTAAAGATGAAACACACATGCTGTACATGTTCAGCGGTTATCCTATTACACGTCTATGCAGCAGGAATGACGCGTGTATCTTGGAATAGCCTGTATGCAGAGTGCGATATGGGACTATGGTATTAGGGTATAATACCAAACTATTGTTGCCATTGATCGACCAATCAGGATCAATAATTCCAGGTTGCTTGAAGACAAGTACATGTACAGTGAGATTGTATATTCTAAACCTGCCTTGCATGCATGAAATGGAGAAAAGTCATTCAACAATAATAAGCGAAAGACCTGTAAGCTGAGCCTATAAAACTACTTGTACCTCTTGGGTTAATAAAATCTGCAGAGATTAGACGTTCTTAACGTTAAGGCCAACTGTCGAGCATTTCTATAAAAATGCACAAAACAATTAGATCATAAATTTACATTAAAATGGATATTAGAACCCACCATAACCTTGTGGTCCAAAATCACGCCCTTATCCAACCCGGCTATCGTACTGCTTGACCAATCATGGAAATTCATGGCATTAAACAAGTACGTGCGTAGGTATCATAAAAGTATTGTCTACAGATGGCGCTCATGTTTAATAGATGTACATGTAGTTTGGGAAAACAACATTCGCTACCCCACTGACAGAGGGGTTGGGAATCAGTGGGTTAGGAAACAAACACAATACTGTATTTAGTTCAAAACATATAACGCAAACTATTTTGTCTAAATTTGCCCTTAAATCACTTGTCATTTGATACCTGATGATGTCATGATGACGTAACAAAATGTATAACATCTTCGTAACATGGTACAAGTTCACACAAGGTTTTGTGACCATACCGTAAACCGTTTGGAAGAAAATGTGCTTTGTTTTGATTTCAGGCTAATGTCTTCATTTTGAATTCACCTAACTTTGACCTTCCAGTAGAACCGGAAGTAAAGGTCAAGTGAGCATTATTTGTAATGAAGTTCTATGGAAAAAAAAATTTGACAGCTGGGGGTTTTGACCCCCCCCCCCCATCCATGCCTGGACATGAAAATCCCAGCTGCTGAAAGATCTGGCTTGTTTGAAAGGCACTTAACCACCTTTGCACCAGAGTTGTCCGATACGTGGGGATACGCTACAGGTCCAACGACAGTGACTGTGGAACAGAATCTCAGACAATTACGGAACGCCAAAGAGGCATTTAATGTGATCATCGAATCGATGATGCACTTTTGCAATCGGTGATGCATATTCACGATCGGTGAAGGACTTTTGCGACCGGTTATCAACTTTAACTGGTGATGCATATTCACGAGCGGAGATGGACTTTCGCGATCGGTGATGGACTTTTGCAATCGGTGATGGACTTGCACGACCGGTGATCAACTTTGCAATCGGTGATGGACTTTCTTGATTGGTGATCAACTTTGCAATTGGTGATGGACTTTCGCGATCGGTGATGGACTTTCTTGATTGGTGATCAACTTTGCGATCGGTGATGGACATTTGCGATCGGTCATGTCGGTCATGATGGACTTTCGCGACCGTGTGATCAGGTTTGCAAATGCAATCAGTTGTGTGTTGCGTTATAATCATTTGCATTTATCACACTGATTTTTCAGTTCCTAGCTCCATGATATCACCATGGCTTTATGATATTACCAACTTTAGAACTGGAGTAATTTTTACAAATTTACATCATTTGTAGATTTTATTAAACTAGTTAATGCATTAATGTGGCCATTGCGAATGTGCAGAGACTTTTTTTGTCGGGTTGACTACATAGGTTACTGTTGTGGTTGTAGTCCTATTCAGAAATTTTATTTTGCTTTTTTTTAAAAACATTATTCAATGTTTTTCTTTGAAAACTCCGATGTGTAAGTACCCCCCCCCCCAAAAAAAAGACTATGCACACCGGTGAATCATTATTTATTAGTGAAAGAATATGTAACCATTTGGGTTGAATAGCGAATGTTTTTTCTGTTTGTTTGCACTCCACAATTAAACAAGCTCGTCCAAAATACTGATGACTCTGGGTACATGTTTAATATTTCTGGGCTACTGAAAAAAAATCCAACAACAGCTGTCATACAAGCAAGGGAATACATTACTTTACCATAAGATCTTGGAATTGTTTTGTTTACAAGGAAATAATGATAAGCCAATAACACAAAGCAACAGGTGATTTATCCGCATATTAGGAGGCCAAGCCCAAGTAAAAAAAACAACGTCATGTGACAAAAATGTGTGGGGGGGGGGGGGTGTTTTAAACTTAACAACTTCCAGTCAACTTTATCGTGGAATATGAGTGAAAAACGATTTTGATCCACGACAACAGAGCGCAGCCAGTGCTGTAAAAACCCTTCCCTTTTAAGAAACTTTACACAGTGTGTTCTGTTGTTGGTGGCTAGAAAACCCAAACGGATATTACTCGAGCTTGACCCGTCCATAGATCCACTTGATGTTTGCTTGGCCTCGCATTCCTGGGCAAACCACAAAAGGATAATGCAGAGGCCGGGGTGATAAAACAAAGTCAGTCAGCTGGAAGAAAACCTTATATGAATAATAATGAAGTAGTGAAAGTTGATATGGAAGTATTCTGCAGAGAATTGCAATGTTGGTAGTCTCGTCAGAGGGGCAAAATAACAGATTTTCCCACTGTGGTCTTAGACATACAATGAATACTCATAATAGTTCGATAAACCAAGTGGTTTATCGAACTATTATGAGTATTCATTGTATGTCTAAGACCACAGTGGGAAAATCTGTTATTTTGCCCCTCTGACGAGACTACCAACATTGCAATTGTTGGGCAACGGTAATTTACACAGCATGAAATTACCTTATATTGGGTTGAATTAGGTAAAAACTGTCAAACTATTGGCGAGGAACAATTTGAGCAAGACTAGAGTGTATATTGTAGGCAGTTGATAAATCGACCATCATTGGTCGAATTATCAACCCATTTGCCCAACTTTTTTTTACAGTGTACACAACCGGAAAAAATGAATAATAATTTCAAATTTTAAAAATGAAAATAATCTAAACTCTTGTAGAAAAACATACCATTGACTATTGATTCATTAAACATATAAGCAATTAAAAACTCTGCATCCAGGTAATTATATAAATTAACGATAATAGCTAGTAGCGGACGTTGTGAATTATTTTCCTTTTCTTATGTTTTGTCTTTAATTTGTACCATAATCATCTCTAGGTTTAGAAAATATGTTTTCCCTTATTATTTAGCTTAGACCATGTCTGTACAATCATAGAGCTAGGACCCAAGGAGTTCGAACTCCAAGACATCAAAAGTACAAGGATGATCGCCGACACTGCCCTGCGGCACAATCGCTCGGTTTTACGACCCTTATCTAAACACCAATTAGCGCGCTTGGCCGGGCGCTGCTGCGCCTCGGGCGCGACGTCCTCGGTACTACGCATGCGCGTTCATGACCGGCAGTGCTTATCCAACATGGCGGCGATAACTCCTGAAACTTACGCTGAAATTTGCGAAGACAATTTCGACGTTCCGGACGATTTTTCGGACTGGTCTGATGAGGATTTTGATCCAACGGTCGGCGAAGATGTTTCGTCAGTATTTGTGAATGACCAAAACGAAGACAAATACTGTATTTGTGATCAAAAGCCGACAGTATCGATGGCGATGGTAGCATGTGCAGATGCCGAATGTGCAGTGAAATGGTACCATCCCGAGTGTGCAGGCCTACCGATGGACGCGGACGGCAGATGCGTTGTCCCGGAGGGTTGGATCTGTGAAAATTGTAGGCCTTCAGCATCAGGTGAAAAAGTGTGATTTTTTGCAATAAAGAGCATCTGTTTTGGACTACTTATACTTTTCGAAAGATTCCCATATCTGGCCAGCACTTTTCACCCTGTGCATGCTGTGCACAAACCGTATGAAAATGAGCGATGAGACTGGTCTGAAAATTTCTAATTTTTCTCAGTAGGAAATACTTCGAAGGGAAAAAATGTCTACTTTTTTTCTTCATATATATCATCTCAATAAAGGTCAGTCATTGCAAAAATGATAATAAGACATAAATCTGGGACTGAGTTTTATTTCCAAATTTTCTTGACTCTTCTTAGACTTTGTACACAACTGCCGAAGTGGCCTCAAGTTGCAACATTTCTCCACTTCAATATTTTCCCTGCTAACTTTGACTTTTAAACTTGAGACATTTTATCACTTTTTGATGGCTGATACGTCACTGAAAGGAAAAATTAATGATGGCCAGATATGGGAATCTTTCCCTACATTTACGCCTGTATTACGATAGCATATGTGGGAAAATTTCAGATTGTTTCGGCCTACTAATTTTATTTTAAACTTTTACAGGCATGGCAGCCAGGTCATCTTGTCAGCAAGGAGTTGTGGAGGATACGTGTACGTCCGTGGATATGCCGTCAAAGAAAGCAGAAGGGGAAAAGAGCAAAAATAAAAGAGGTAAGTTGCTTCCCATGTTTATTGTAGATTTGTATTGAAAAATCACTAAAGGTGTATGGGTTCATGATGAACAAAAATCTCCAAGTCCTTGCTGAAAAGCAAATTTTCTCGTGTCGGCATAAAACCCTGAAACTGTTTGCAGGTTTTTTAAATGAAACTTCCTTTATCCCCAACAGTGGCAATTCCAAGAAGATTCTTTGTGATTTAATCTAAGCCTCGAGGGTTAGGGCTGGCCATAAATACAAAATTGTGTTTTTTTTTTAATTTAATCTGTATTTTTCTCTTTTTTGCAGCTAAAGTGTTGTCAAGACCAGAGGCGAAGTACACACAAGAAGATGCTGTGAGAAATGCCCCATCTTTCTTCCAAGACTCTCTTCTTGCAATGAAAGAGCACCTGATTTTCAATGTCGACAGCCTAGCAGCATTGCAATCATTGGCCATTGTGACCCACCTCCTGACATCATGCCTTGACAACACTGCGTTCGCGGAGTTCTGCTGTGCCTGTATGGTTTTAATATGGGACTCAGCGATAACTCCTGAAACTTACGCTGAAATTTGCGAAGACAATTTCGACGTTCCGGACGATTTTTCGGACTGGTCTGATGAGGATTTTGATCCAACGGTCGGCGAAGATGTTTCGTCAGTATTTGTGAATGACCAAAACGAAGACAAATACTGTATTTGTGATCAAAAGCCGACAGTATCGATGGCGATGGTAGCATGTGCAGATGCCGAAGAGCACCTGATTTTCAATGTCGACAGCCTAGCAGCATTGCAATCATTGGCCATTGTGACCCACCTCCTGACATCATGCCTTGACAACACTGCGTTCGCGGAGTTCTGCTGTGCCTGTATGGTTTTAATATGGGACTCAGCGATAACTCCTGAAACTTACGCAAAAGTTGACAGTACAACTAAGTTAAAGCCAGAGGTATATGAAGCAATGTGGGTTGGCTTCAAAAGAGCAAGTCATTCTCTCCTCAAACAATGGCAAGATCTATTGAGGAATTTAAGTATCTATACTCCTGGAGAGCACAATCTTATAACGTTAAATTTTTTATTTCACTCTGTATACGCTCGCTTGATTAAAGCAAGGAATAGTACTGATTGTCCAGAACAAGCATGTAATAAAACACAGGAACCTTTAGATACAGTTGAAGAGAAAGTTCTACGATATGTTGCTGGATACATTCCATTTGCACTTCTAAAAAAATATCAAAAACAAATAAATCCTACGGCAAAACTGTATTGCAAATTCCTTTCATCATGGCAAGTTCCTAGTGTAAAATGTGCTGAAACCTTGCTTGAATACACCAGAGAATGGATCAATGTGCAAAATAGAGGTGGACTTTTTAATGTTTCAGATAAAGTGTATCTTTTCATTCGGTCAATGGAATTTATAGCACGTTCATTTCTAACAAAGGAACATTTAGACGGCCTTCAAGGAGTTGACATTAAGGAGTCACTTTTTACAAAAATAGCCTCTGATTTCAAGGTTCAAACTTACTGGTGTGGTTTAATTGCAGATAAAATAAGTGGTGATCCATCAAAGAAATTGATGGAAATTATTGCCAAGTGTTATATTAAAACTCGAACAAATGCATTTATAAATGTTTACCTACAAATCAAGAAGGCAGAAAAAAATATCTCCAAGAAAGCTGAAAAAGGTCTCAGAAAAGAATTAAATCAAAAGTAAGTCCTACTTCACGCTGATGTGATCCGTTATATAGAATCAAGTACATGTACATGTACATATCCACCGATATGCATTTAGGCACGTCTACCCATAGAGCTAGGAGCTACATGTAGCTTATATGGCATACCCACCCAAATATGGGTTAACTGTTTTGATCATGAACAGCCATGATATTATTCTGAATTTAATAGGATTTCAAATTTCCCCCTTTCATTTCATGTTCTTCTTTCTATTTTCCACATTCTGTACTGTAGTTATACTTTTGGGGGTCTGCAAAGAACTTTTTCTAATATTTCCTTCAGGGTCAAATCATGTCTGTATGAATGAAAAGGGCTCTGACATCAATTGCATCCAACTTGAGATTTAGAGGACAAGTGTACGTGTACATGTATAAAGGAAAAATCTTAAGGCAACTGAAGGCTATGTGCACATGTATAAGGTAGAGAGTAATGGCACTTCATAGCAAAAACAACTATTTTACTACTGTACATATGGCTCGGAAATTAAAAAATATAATATGTACATACATGTATGTATTTACACAAAATAATATGTCTGTGATTATTTTCTTTCATGTGTGTCATGCATAATAATTGAAGTCAATGGACTTCAGCCAATAGCATAGGGGACGCACAGTTGCAGATTACCAATAGATGGATATTTGAAAGCAAAACCGGGAAAACGAAATTGGGTTGAACAACGGAAATTGTATTTTGCAATGGGAAAACCAAATCCTGGCTACGCTACATGCCTGACTTCAGGGCCCCCCCCCCCCACCCCCCAAAATGACAAGTTTTTGGGAAATTTTTGACAATTTAAGAAAAATACAATGTACCGTGAATAACATTAACAAGGACTTCAGCCTCTTCCCTTCGGCAACTACATGTATTAGGGAAATCTAATCTCTTACTGCAGAGAAAAAAACCCAGATACATGTACAAATGTGCATTAACATGATTCAAGCTTAACACACACAAACAAAGGACTTGAGCATTCCACCCCCTCCCATCAGACAGCAGCTTTTCAGGGATTTCTAGGGATATGCCTCATCCCTAATTACAAAAAAAAGGATATCTCAAGAGTCGACTTGATGATGAATGACATACCCTGACCCTATATTAAATTACATTTATCAAGCATAAAAAAATAAAAAAGCAAAACGAAAAAGGACTTGGGCCTTCCCCCACCCAACAATCTCCCTGTCCCCCAAAAAGCAGATTTAATGTATTTAAGGACTTATACCTTACCCCAAATTAAAAAAAATACAAGGATAAAAATTAGCAAACCCAATCGCTAACAAGTATTAGATGTACCGGCTGCTTACATCTGGGGCACTTTTGCATTATCCGGTTTTTTTTTTCGATGTGGGTAGAATTATACCTTGTTTCCATCAGAATCAATATTTACTCTTTGGTCTCTTAGGAAGAGGGGTGCTGTCCAGGTCTACGGAGCTTTGTCCTTGCTGGGCCTTACGAACATTGCCCCTCTTCGATGTCTTGACGGCAGCAGATGCAACATGGAGTGCGAACATATTATGCCCAAACTGCTCCATAGTTGGGTTGTTTGAGCTCCCCCCACTGCCTCGTTGCTTGGAAAAGTATTCCTCAAGAGGTTCTTGACTAAACTTCTCGGTCAATAAGTACTCCTGGTTCGGTCAGCAGAGTTTTTCCGAGATCCACGAAGGAGCGAACTGAAAATGAAATAATTTATAAAAAGGAGGCAGAAAATAAAAAAAAAATCTTGGCTCTGATCAGTGTTTAATTATGTTCAGTAGCTGTAAGTAGAAAAGCCAAAAAAATGGTGAGGTCAGAAATAGCTTACTTTAAGTTCACTTCACATTTGTTTTTGTGTGAATAAAAGTATCATGTAACTGATGTGGTAGATCAAGTTTTCATACATAATGGCTAAAGATTTCAATGAACTAGAGAGAAGTTTAAGAACATCCTTTTAGATTTTTTTTTAAAAGGAGGAAGAGGAAGTTTAAGACACACTACTTACTTGTGATCCTGATGCCTTGGAGCGTCTCTTTGCTGAGACACATCTTCTGCCGGACATTCTTGTCGACATCTTGGTGGCTCTCTGCCTCTTTCTTCCATTCATCCAAGAATCCGAGGAAATCTTCTTGAAGCAACTGAAGACCAGAAAGCAAGACAAAGAACATCAAAAAATGGATGACAGTTGTTGTCTAAACACACTAAGAAGCTAGACTGAAACAAAATACATGTACATGTAAAACATACTTAACAGGCAAACCCCTCACTGGTCTCCAATTCTTTAGTTCATGAAAATGGCCATATTTCATTCATTGTATGGGCATTCGATGATTAATAATGGAGTTTTTAAAAACAGATTTTACCTTGAACCGCCAGTCGTTCGGTGATGTGTAGGGCTCTAGGGCTGGTTTCCGCTTGCGTTTTCCATCATGGGGGTTTGCCACGTTCAGGCAATCAAAGAACTGATCAAATTGTTTTATGAACAGTTCTGTTGATTTTGTGTCATGTCTCCCTTGGGTCTGGAAGGCATTCGCCACAGTGGAACTGAGAACCTGTTTAAAGAGGAAATTGAACATTAAATGAAAAGGCAAATTATGATTCAAAGCTTGAAAATAAAGTTCAAGATCATTTAAGGGGGAGGATATTTAGACTTTCAATGTCTTCTATTTCTTTTGGAATTTTTTGTTCTTTCTTTCCTTTTTTGGAGTCCAAAATTGCTGAAACATGACAACAGCCCTTCCTTAATTTTCAACAACAAAAATTGAAATACCTGTGCAGCCATGTAAACCCGCATCCGTAATGAGGGTGTCAGGTGGAGGTGCTCGTGCGTGATTTTGTGAAGCTTGCGAAGACCAGGAGATGCTCTTGTCAGGCCAACGTCCGTGCTGTACAAGTCAACCAGGTGGGACCACTTGATGTCTTGCTTGCGGAACTAATTTATTACAAATAGAAACAAAAGGAAATGCAGTTCATACAAATTTACTTGAAAAATTATCAGATACTAAATAACACACTGTAATTCGAATAAAGTTTTCAAACCAGGAGAAAAGCTAGATATTTCTAAAAACTAAAATAAATAAAGGGAAAATTCCAAACCAAACTCGACAATAACAAATCCTGTTAGTTGTAAACTTTCTATCAGAAGATATCACAATCCTACCAAGAGAGACAAATCTTACTCACATGCAAGTTCCTCGTCTTGTTGTTCCATCCTGAATTTTCCCAGTTATTCCTTGTAGTTTTAGCAGGTGTGGAACATCACAAAACATGTAAACCTTCCTTGCTGAGTGGCCTGGATTGACACCAAAATATGTTGTCCCATCGGCTTGACTCTCACCAAACAGTCGATAAAACTTTCTGTTTGGTGATGCTCCATCAGAAACCATGGCCTTAACTTTAAAACCTGCTGTCTCCAGCAATATGATGGCTTCATCCATTAGTGCCAGCAGCTGATAGCTTGAAACCCCACATGTGGCATAGAAGGCAATGGGAGCATGTAGCGAGTGGAAGATACCACGTATCATTAATACAAGGACGTGCGATGCAAGAGGGGGATCAACATCTCCTTGACATTTCCTCTCAAAGGAACTGATTGCGTTCGCAATATCTCCCACATCCAGGAACCCAACAATTCTACCAGAACGTGTGTTGTATACTAGGTTTGTCTTCACCTTCATTTCGTCAAATGCCAAAGAG